CCCAGCACTCTAGAAGCAGAGGAATCTTGTATCAGTGAGTTGGAGGCCAGCCAGGACTGTTTCACAGAGAAACCCTGACTTGAAAAAACAAAAACAAACAACAGTCATACCTGCACTTTAAGGTAGAGGTGGGAGGAACACAAGACACACAGACACACACAGACACACATAGACACGCAGACACACACACCCAGACACCCCCCCCCACCCACCACCCACCCACCCACACACACACACACACACACACACCAAAATAAACAAAAGAAAATGAACAGAGCCTAGATTGATACTAAGAGCGATTTCAGGAGAGAAACTAGATACGGGACAGTTTTAGGGATAGTAGGATCTTTGGAAGACAGACTGTGCATGGGGGCGGGGCGGCGGGGAGGGAGTGAATTGTCTTGACGAAAGGTAAAGTAAAAAAATGAGGACCAGGCACGCTGGGAGCCAAGGATACTGGCAAACTCCGCCCAGAGCGAGGATACCCCAGCGAAGTGACGCAGCGCGGTTTGGCCACTGTGGGGCGCCGTAGCCCGCGCTGTTGCCAGGGGAACCGGCCCCGCGCCGGGTGAGGCCCAGCCTGCCTTGGCCTGGCACGGCTGCATAGCCAGCCGGTCTGAACTAAGGCGGAAGGACTTGGAGGCCCAGCCTCGGTCCGGGATGGAGCCACGCTCCGAGACGCATCTCCTCCGGGTCCGGGGGACTGACTCTGCCCGGACGGTCTGAAGTACGGCCGCCCTGGGGAGGGTGGACGGGCAGGACGCGGCCCAGCCGCTGGCTGACCTTGGCAGGCCGCATCTGGCGCAGGTGAGGAGCCAGCGGCGTTTCTCACCTCGGGCCTGGCGGGAGCCACCGGGTCGGGCTGCGCCGGTGCCCGGCCGGACTCGGGGCCAGTCTCGCTCGGCCTGCTGGGCTTCACCGACCCAGTGGACTTTGTTTTAGCACTAATCAGGGTTATAGGTCCGCACCGAGCGCTCACCGAATGCCAGGCTGTGTGCCAGGCGTCAGGCCTAAGAACAGACGCCTTCAGTCTCCAGAACCCACAGAGAAGGAGGAGTTGGGAGCAGGCACCAGACACATGACTAGAATAAGTTCAGGTCGCGTTAAGTGCGCTGGTGGCCCTAAAAATGACTTTTAAGCTAAGACGTGGAGGTTGAAAAGGGTCCAGAATTGTGAGTAGGGGAAGGGTATTTCTGAAAGAGGGAAAAGCAAACACAAAAGTCCAGGTAACAGAGCAGGACAGAAAACTCGAGGCGAGGTCCTAAAGTTCATCATGAGGGGTTTCGACTCTTATCCCAGAAGCTGAAAGGAATAATCAGAGTTGGATGAGTTTCAAGTTTTGAGAAGAGCTTTATATTCTGGCTGCTGAAGATTACTCTAGTTCTGCTGGTGTAGTTGAGCTTCCTAGAACCCAGAAGTTCCTCCGCGCCCACCTCTGTGCGCAGGGGATGCAGTTGTGTTTATGAGACAAAGTGAGGAGGTCCACATGCCAGACTAAGCATTAGAGACATCTGTGGGAACCGTTTGGAATAATAGGTCTACTTCAGAGCGTTGAATTAAGAGAATTCCATGAAAGCACTTCACGCAGCCCTGGCCTAGAAAAAGTGCCTTCTAAATGGCAGTGATGGTTGTTATTATCGTGGAAACACTGTAAGGGAGCAATGATGGTTAGGGCGGCAAACATCCTAAGAAGTGGCTTCACTTTCTTCACCAAGGGAGAGCTAGGTTAGATGAGGGGTGGTCACTCTTTTTATGGAATTGATGTTTTGCTGTGGAAGACCAGATGTATATAGATAATCACCCTGAGACACAATAAAAGCAATAGTGGTGTTTAATTAGTCTGATTTCCCCCCTATTGTTTTTCTTACTTTGTTCTGTCGCAACTTTGTTCTTAATGACTTTCTTGGTGTGTGTTCCCCAAGGCTGGCTCCTACAATCTCTAGTTGATTTCCTGGTTACAAATCGACAAGCCTTGCTTCCTTTCCTTGGTTTTGTTTCTGTTCCCTGTTGTTCTCTGTTACTTATTCCTTCTTCTGAACTTGTATCCCCCGAGTTTGTGGTGGCAGCTGCAAAAGGAGAATGATACAGAAATGTTTGCACACCATGTCAACTCAGGAATGATTTCAAGTTTTTCTTGCCATAGCAACTAACTTTGGCATATTGTTTATGAGAGAGAAAATAAAAGCCCAGCCACATTATTTGAGGCCAAAGGCCAGAGAGGTCTTTGAGAACAGCTTTAAGTTCTAGCTTATTTTCTGGGAATGATGTGATATGCATTCCTTAGTTGAACTATAGCCACTTCTCAGAATGTTTAAGACCGCAGATTTTTCTGGCACCTGTGGGAAGTTTTAATAAACACTGTATTTGCCCCTAGAAGTCTTTTATAAATGGTTCTGCACTGTAAGCCAATGTGCTTTGCGAAGCATTTTCTCTCCAGCTCCCCTTTATGTGGTTTAAATTGAGACATGTTAGATCTCAGTGAAAATTATTTTAGAAGCAGATCCTTGGGAAAGGCTGAAAAATGATTAGCATTACTCAGAGGAATCTTGCAGGGAAACAGTAATGTCTCTAAGATAAAGGAAAGCTGCTTAGGAGTGCACCTTCCCTTTGGGGTGCACCTTCCCCGTGGGGTGCACTTTCTCTGTTGGGTGCACCTTCCCTTTGGGGTGCACCTTCCCCGTGGGGTGCACCTTTGCCTTGTTCTGGGACTACAGGGCACTGATTGGCTCTTGGCCAAGGCCTAAACCAGTGTCTTGCCCAGCAACACCGTTAGACTGCTTGATGTCTGTTTCCAAGTTTGACAAGACCCCTAACGCTCACAATCCAGTGGCTCAGAATTGCCTTGAAGGGTAAGAAAGCACTTGAACAAGCAGCCTTGTCAAATGGTTGTTAGGCAGGAATTCCTGGTTTTTCTGGCCTGGTATAAACCTTTAGCTCACATAAGTTCATTTGGTTCACCTCTAGCACTGTGGTACAAGAAGGGCTAGAGGTGACACCCTCTCAACTATATCTTATTTGATGTGTGTGTTGTGTGTTTTGCTGTTGCTGGGGATTAAATTCAGGCCTTTCCACAGAGTTATCCTACTTCCCTTTCTCTCTCTGTCTCTCTCTCTCTTAAGATAGGGTCTCACCTTGTAACTCTGATTGTCTTAGAACTTACTATGTAGATCTGCTCTCCTGGGACTCACAGAGATCTTCCTACCTCTGAGTGCTAGGATTAAAGATGTGGACCACCATGACCAGCTACTTTTTAAAAAAAATAGTAAATGCCCATGATTTAAAAAAAAATTGAATAATATAATCAAACACACAGTAGAAATAAATCTGTCTCATCCCCAGCCCAAGGTACTAGATCTTCATGGAAACTACCCTTCATTTGGATTCTGCCATTTCCTTCCCAGAATAATCTGTGCCTATAGAAACATAGATATCTGTCTGTCTGTCCCTTATGGGTGGTTTTTGTTTGTCTTGACAGTCTTGCTATGTAACCCAGGCTGGGCCTGGAACTTGCAATTCTCCAGCCTTAGCCTCCCAAATGGTGATGGTCTTTTTTTTTTTTTTAAAATACTTTTAAAATATGTGCATTTGTGTATATGTCTACCTGTCACATATGTGGAGGGCATTCACTTGCTTGGAGCTGGAGTTACAGGTGGCTGTGAACCTCCTAGTTTGGGTTCTGGGAACTGAAATGTACTCTTCTGAAAGAGCAATGGCTGCTCTTTTTTTTTTAAGGTTTATTTTTATTTTATGTTTGAGGGTATTTTACCTGCATGTATTTCTGTGTGCCATAAGCATGCCTGGTGCCCTTGGAGATCAGAAGAGGGTGTCAGGCTTCCTGGAACTGGGGTTAAAGATGGTTTTGAGCTACCATGTAGTGGGTGCTAGGGTCAGAACCTTGCTGAGCCATCTCTAGCCCCCCAGCCTTGGTTTTTGATAGCTCACTCTACAATTGTGTGTCTTGTGTGTTCATATAACTTTATCTTTTTTTTTCATGTAACTTTATCTTAAGAATAATGTCTTCCCTTGCTTTTGATGCTGTATAACGTTCCCTTGTATGCGTATACCATAGCCATGCTTATATTTGTTTTTGTTCTTTATTATTACAAGGAACAATGCAGTGAGCTTTTGTGTGTAAGATAAATACAGAAATGGAATGTCTGGACCACAAATTAAATGTGTTCTCAGGTTTGGTAGACATTACCAAATCTCCTTCTGGCTAACTTTTGAAACATGAGTAAAGAAGACACCCAAAGCCAGGCATTGGTGGTGCCCACCTTTAATCCCAGCACTCGGGAGGCAGAGGCAGGTGGATCTCTGTGAGTTCGAGGCCGCCCTGGTCTCCAGAGTGAGTGCCAGGATAGGCTCCAAAGCTACACAGAGAAACCCTGTCTGGAAAAAAAAAAAAAGAAGACACCCAAAATAAGTGGGATTAGTGGGATTTGTGAAATTTGCCCCCAGCTCCCTTGAACTATGAACAGCAGTGCAAGAGCAAGAAGGCGGCTCTGTCTCCAGGCAGCCCTGGTTCCTGTTTCCAACCTCCTCTTTCATGCATAGCTTAGATCTCTGAGCCCTCTAAGCCTCCATTTCAGCTTCTTCTTGTTGTTTTGAGACAGTGTCTCACTACTTAGCCCTGGCTGTCCTGGAACTCACTATGTAGACCAGGTTGGCCTCAAACTCACAGAGTTCTGCCTCCTGAGTGCTGGGATTAAAGATACACACCATGCCACCTGGCTTTGTGTTACTTTTTTATCTGACCCAAGCAACTTGCCTTCCCAGTTTCTAGGTCTCCTTTGATATCCCTCTTTATTAACTGAGTTGATTCTGAAGTTCTCCGGCGTCTTTTAGGAATCCAGGGCTGTCCACAGGTTCTCCAGGGGCAGGACTTTATACTCCAGTCTCATTGCTTTAGCTATATCCACATGAATATCAGAACAACATTCCAAATTTATCAATACTACTGATATTATTATTTAAGCTAGGATTTCATCGTCTTGATACATTGCCCAAGTTGGCTTTGAACCCCTTGGCCTAGTGATAGTGATCTTCCTGCATTAGCCTCCTGGCTACTTTTTTTTTTTTTTTTTTTTTTTTTTTGAGTGATGGCAGGCAGGGAGTAGATCAGCTGTTATACCATTTATTATGAGACATTATGAGAACTCAAAATGTTAAGATTTTGTTTCCTTTTTTCTTTTCTTGGCTGTTTTGAGTCAGGGTGTCACTATCTAAACATTGGTTAGCCTGTAATTGATTATGTAAAAGATTGGCCTCAAACTCAGAGATTCACCTTGCTTCTGCCTCTGGAGTTCTGGGATTAGACTCATTTGTCACCATTTCCAGCTAAGATTTTCTTCATTGAATGCAAGTATATATATTAATGTAGCCTGATTTTATTTTGACAATGTTATTTAAAGATTTTAGCAAATGAATGTTTAAAATAGGAAAGATTATTCTTATACTGGCAGTGGCCTTCACCTTGTAGGGACAAGGGATGGACCTGCATAGCCCCTTCAGTCTTCTGCAGATGTAAAGCAAGTCCATGACTTAGGTAGCAGATATTAGGTAACAGTCTGTGCATCTCCTTGCCCTTTCTCCCTTCCATCCTTGCCAGCATCTGTGTTTTGTCCTTCTTATATTTGTTTGTTTGTTTGTTTTCTGTTTGGTTTTTCAAGCAGGGTTTCTCTGTGTAACAGTCCTGGCTGTCCTGGAACTTACTTTGTAGAATAGGCTGGCCTCAAACTCACTGAGATCCACCTGCCTCTCCTTCTAAGTGCTAGGATTAAAGCCGTGTGCTACTACTGCTGCTTGGCTAATTTGTCCTTTTTAAGAAGAAGGCACATGAAGAATATTTTACCAAGGCTTCTGTACTACTCAGCCCACTAGACATGCAGCTGGGGGCACTGTATGGTCAAGGAGAAGCTATACTCCTGACCTTGACCCTCTGGCCAACTCCTTCTAAGGTGTAGGGTTACCTAGTCACTGCCCTCCTGGGGCAGCCTCCTGTTGTTATCTCATCCCGTGTCCTTTCTGGTCTTATTTATGTCTCTTCTCTACTGAGACTAGAAATCAAAGCTGTTTGTCATTCTCTGCTTTAAAATAATTTGACTCTCTGGGCATTGGTGGTGTACCCCTTTAATCCCAGCACTTGGGAGGCAGAGGCAGGCGGATCTCTGTGAGTTTGAGGACAGCCTGGTTTACAAGAGCTAGTTCCAGGACAGCCATAGAGAAACCCTGCCTCGAAAAACAAAAGCAACAACAAAAAATTCCTTTGACTCCTTATGGCTTCTTGAGCAGTGCCCAGAGCATGTCACCTAGGCCTAAGTGATCTCAGCCTTGCAGCCACTCAGTGTCTATCTCTCACTGCTCCCTGACATATTCCATCTGAGTAGCTTGCCCTTGCAAAGCACTGCCCCAAACACCCAAGTACCCAATGCCCTGATGTTGCTTGCTCTGTGTCTTTCTGGGACTCAGAAAGGAAGGTTGGAGAGAGCAGGTACCTAGTCTCATCTGTACCTTCAGTGTACATAGGCCTGGGCCCCAGTAAGCCTGGCCTGGCCAAGGGCTGAGTGCACCATCTGGTCATATTTTTGGGGAGCAGAACCACATATCTTTCATTTTGAACTCCCAGAAGGCTGTTGAGAGGGAAGGGACAGCCAGAGAAAGTCTCCAAGCCTGATGACAATACTTACTCTCATCTGTGGGCCCCATTTTGGATTTGTTCCGACTTCCCAGCCCTTGTAATGAAATTTTTTTGGGCCAAAAAGAATTTGTGGCCTTCAATTCAATGGTAGAAAATCATCAAGTTCGGAGTTAGCTCTCTCAGGGTTTGGGGGTAGGCAGCATCCTCCTCGCTGTCCTTTGTGTCTGCTCCTGAGGGTTACTGCTGCTTTAAGACATTCATCCCTGCATCTAAAGTCGTAGGCAAGTGGCACGTCTCTGGACCAACAATATCTTAACTTGAGTCAAAGCTACTCCCAAGACTGTTTGCAGCAAGTCTCCACCTTGGGACGGTGATTCCTCCTCCATCAGGACTCCAGTAATTTTTTTTTTTTTTTTTTTTTGGTTTTTCGAGACAGGGTTTCTCTGTGTAGCTTTGGAGCCTATCCTGGCACTCGCTCTGGAGACCAGGCTGGCCTCGAAGGACTCCAGTAATTTAACACTAGGGATGCTTGTGGCCTCTGTCGACATATCAGCCACACGCTCTATTTCTCTCTTGAGAAACAGACTCCTTCAAGGTACATGGCTTTTTAGTTGTGGGGTTGACAAAGGCAAGACTAGGTTTGGGGATTAAATTCATATATCCCCTTCAAAGTGCTTGTTTGCTTAGATGGAATATAGCCCAGGAAGAGGGTGCTTATGTAGTATTTGCAAGGCCCTGGGTTCAATCCCCAGTACTGCAGACTATTTGCCCTGATTGTGGTATTTCTGGAGAACCCATGTACAGTCCACAGAGATCTGCCTCAGAGAACCACCAGCTCAGCTGTATTCATGGGGCTTGATCTGATGACCTTTGGTTATTTCCACAAATCAGGGACAAAGATTTGCTCACCTGGGGATGTTCCAAAGAAAATTTTGTCATTTTTTTCCTTTGTCATCTTTGATTTAAATTTGGACCCTAAGCCTGACTTGCCCTTTTTCTATCACTATGACTGAACAGCCCTGTGCCTTGAGGCAGTTTCTAAAGGAAGAAACAGAGACATGTGGCTGGGAAGTCCCTATTTTTGGTAGTGGCCATAGGCATAGTGACAAGATCAGAATGTCAATCCAAGACAGTGTGGTGGCATAAACTTGATATCTAAAGGCTATCCTGATCTATACAGCAAGTTGAGATACATATTAATGGATTAATAAAATCCATTAATCAAATTATCTAGTCTCTTCAACTAAATTAAAAGGAAAAATAGAGAGAGAGCTGTATGTCAAAATACTTGAGCTGCATATACTCACTCACACTTGCAGCCTCAGCTCTCAAGGGCACGAGGCAGGAGGATTGCTAAGGGTTTGAGCTAACCTGGGCTACTTAATGAGTTTTAGGGTAGTCATGGATGCAATGAGGCTCTGTCTTTTTTTTTCATTTTTTTAATTAAATTATTAATATTTTCACATGTACTTTCCCTCTCCCTCTCCCTCTCCCTCCCCCCACCCCCATTCCTTCTCCCCCATTTTTTTTTAATGGCAGTGTGTGTGTGTTTATTGGGACCACCTACCCCACTTAAGAAAGCAACTTCAGAACTGTGTTCACAGTTAGGCTGTAGCTACTCTACAATGCCTAGCTCTCCAGCGTCCATCTGAAGGAGAAGCACATATGGTCTGTGCCATCACTTGAGCAAAGCAGACTGCTTGCAATTCAAAAACCTTTGGAGGTAAAGCACCCAGGAAACTTTGGCTACAAAAACCATTTGGAAGAATGCACCCTCTACTTTGGGTGGGAGTGCATAAAGAAACCTTATTGTTACAGGTCTCTTATTGTAGTAGAGTAATTATCTACTGAATTATCCACAGATTTTTTTTCAAACTCCCCTTCTAGCATCTGTTATGAGAAATTGTTAAACACTTTAAAACGGGCTGGAAAGATTGCTCAGTGGGTAAAGGCACTTGCTGCCAAGACTGACAATCTGAGTTCAAGCTCCAAGACACACATTATGGAAGGAGAGAACGTAATCCTCCAAGTTGTCCTCTGACACACATGCACACATGTGCGTACACATGCATGCGCACACACAACAGGTACACATGTTTAAAAGAAGAAACACTTCAAAGCTGCCAGAGTGCAGCTATTGGTGCTTTACAGGAGGCAAGGGAGGCTTATCTAGTTGGGGTTTTTGAAGATACTGGCTGTATGCTATCAATGCCAAACATTGAATAATAATTTTAACATCCACATATGTGGAGAACATGCTTAAGAATCTACTATGGGACTGGAGTTGGTAAAGTGCCTGCCTTATGAGCATGAGGCTTGAGTTGAATCCCCAGAACCCATGGAAAAAGCCAGACATGGTGGCTTATGTTTATAATCCCAGCCCTGGGGAGGGGGTGGCTAGCCAATCTCATCTACTTGTTGAACTCCAGGCCAGTGAGAAATCCTGTCACCAAAGGGAAAAAAACAAAACAAAAACAAAAAACAAAAGGTGGACTGGCTGGAGAGATGGCTAAGTGGTTAAGAGCACTGGCTGCTCTTCCAAAGGAACTGAATTCAAATCCCAGCAACCACAAAGCAGCTCATAACCATCTGTAACTTCACTCTGTGCAATCCTATGTCCTCTTTTGGCCTCCATGAATATACATATAGACAAAATGCCCATAAATATAAAAATAAATGTTTTAAAAATTATTATTTTTTCTGTGTATGGGTGTTTTGCTTACATGAATGTCTGTGTACCGTGTGCATGCCTGGTGCCTGTGGAGGCCAGAAGAGGGTGTCAGATCCCCTGGAAGTGGAGATATGGCTCACGGCTGCTCTTCCAGAGGATCCAGTTCAGTCGCCAGCATCTACATGGTAGTTTACATCACTCTGATTGCCTTCCCTTTGAAAGGGTGAGTGTGGCAGGAGAGATGATGGTTCAGTGGTCAAGAGCACTTGAAGAGGTCCTGGGCTCATTGCTTCCCAGCACCCACGTCAGATGGCTCCTAACTGCCTGTAAGTCCAGTTCCAAGGAGTCTGGTGACCTCTTCTGAACTCTGGGAACCTGTACTCATGCATATGTGCACACACACATGCTGTAAATAAATAAGCAAATAAGGAAATATAAGGGTGGATGGCACTTAAGCAATGGCACCAAGGTTATCCTTTGGCCTCCACACCCAAACCCATGCATACTCCCCTCACATGTGCACTCAGATACACACAAGCATGTACACACAAATGGATACATGTACACACAGAAGAATCTACTCTGATATAGAGTATTTCATTTTCAATTTTTTATTTGCAGCTGGGTGTGGTGGCACATGCCTATAATCCCAATACTTAGGAGGAAGAGGCAGGCGGTCAAGACCAGCAATGGCTACATAGTAAGTAAGAGCTTGTCTCAGAACAACTTTTTCTCATTTCCTATTATTGATAATTCTGAATGTTAGTTTTTTTTTCTCTTAAATGATCAAAAGGTATCAAAGTATAAGATTTTGGCTAGGCATAGAGGTACATGCCTTAAATTCCAGAATTTGGGAAGCAGAGGTAGGTGAATCTCTATGAGTTCAAAGCCAGCCTAATCTACGTAGCAAATTTCAGGGCAGCTGGAACTACACAGAGAGACCTTGTCTTAGAAAAAGTAAAGGAATGATTGTGAATGAAAAAAAAAATAGGGGTGAGAAATCAGATATTGGCCATTCCCCATTGTGTGTGTGGATTTTTCTTTTTCTGAGATAGGGTCTCACTGTATATCCCTGGCCATTCTGGAACTTAACAGGTAGACCAGACTGGCCTTGAACTCACAGAGGTCCACCTGCCTTTTGTCTTCTGAGTGCGCCATACCTGGCATGTGTGTGGATGTTTAATATAAAAAGATAGAAAGCATTGGCGGGTAGTGATGGCACACATCCTTTAATCCCAGCACTAGGGAGGCAGAGACAGGTAGATCTCTGTGAGTTCAAGGCCAGCCTGGTCCACAGAGGGAGTTCCAGGACAGGCTCCCAAGCTATAGAGAAACCCTGTCTCAAAACAAAAACAAAAACAAAAACAAAAAACAAAAAACAAACCAAAAACAAAACAAAACAAAACCCACAAAACAAAAACAGACCCCCCCCAAAAAGGTCTGGAGAGATGGTTTAGACGTTAAGAGCACTGGTTGCTCTTCCAGAGGTCCTGAGTTCAATTCCCAGCAACCACATGGTGGCTCACAATCATTGTAATGAGATCTGGTGCCCTCTTCTGGCCTGCAGGGATACATGCAGACAGAACACTGTATACATAACAAATAAATAAACCTTAAAAAACAAAACAAACAAACAAAAAGATATAAAGCATTAATGCAAGTCAAAATGTTCTGGTCAACAAATTTTGGCAGTTCAACTTTATAACAATTATGGATAAACCTGCTAAATTCTTGGTAATAGTGTTTGGAATTAAAAAATACAAATTTTTGGCTGAGAAGTGGTTGTGCTCACCTTTAATCCCAGCACTTGGGAGGCAGAGGCAGGCAGATCTCTGTGTTTGAGAACAGCCTGGTCTACAGAGTGTGTTTCAGGACAGCCAGGGCTGTTATACAGAGAAACCCTGTCTCAAAAAACCAAACCAAACCAAACCAAACCAAAAGCTAACCAACCAAACACAACAACAACAACAACAACAACAAAAAAGCCCCAAATTTCTTTCTGAGGGCAACTAAATGGTTTTCTTATAATTTTTATCATATGGTGGATTACAATCACTGTACTTTTCTGAGTTGTCCTTCATGCAAGTGTGTACTCACATTGTGTGAGTCTGTGTGTATGTGTGTGCGGGCTTGTGTGCGTCTGGGGACTAAATCTAGGACCTCACATATGCTAGACAAGTCCTTTATCACTGAGCTATACCTGTACCTGCAAGTCTGTGTTTTAATGTCTGTTTTCTTGTTCCTGTGGCAACTTTAACCAGTCCTCTCATTTTGGACATAGACCTTGTAGAATCAGACACCGTACTGCAGCCTATGGATAGGAGACAAACCAGAGAGCTATTTGAGGTAATTAATTACCACGAAGTGCGCATTTACTTGTAGGATTTGCCTGCAGTACCACTCTATGTAGGGGGCATCCACACCCCCGTTTTTCAGAGGAGGAAATTCAGTGCTTTCAGCTAATAAGGGCAAAGCCAAAAGACAAACCTAGACCTGGTTCTTCCAAAGCCAGGGCTCTCCCATCCTGTGCACTACTTATCAAAGGCCGGGCAGGTAATCAGGGGACTTGACCTTAGTCTGAAGAAAACTCAGGTCACTCCCTTTAGGTTTGAGATGAGACCATCAGAGATGGCTTCACGAGATGTCAGGACTGGTCTTAGGAGGGCTGAGGGAAAGTGTGGCTTTGAGTGAATGTCCAGTAGTCAGGATGGCAGGCAGTTGGGACAGGAAGTAAGGGTAGAGGACGCAGCCATGTGGAAGGGGAACAGAGGACGACTGAAGGCAGAGTGGACTGGACCACCTGGCCTCATCATAGTTCAATTAGAGAAAGGTACTAACAACCAAGATGATGAAACCCATTAAGAGTATAAGAGCCTTCATTTTGACCAGCAACCAAGAGTGGGTTCATGCTCCAATCTCTTGGTGCTGAAGCTCAGGGTACAGTGATTTCAAAGGCAAAACCCACAAAAACCACAATTCAATCTCCGATGAGGGTCAGTGTAACCTTGCAACACTTGCTTAAGCAGAACACAGTAGTTACTTCAGAACACAACAATTAATTTGACTTATACCTTCAGTTATTTTAAGTTTATATAAATACGAGTTATTTTATTTAATACATCTGCACTAAGGTCAGGGTCATGGAAACCCCAAGTGTGTTGCCAAGGCAGATGTGACTCCTGGGGGTGGAGGCTGAGAACTGTCTAAGCAGCCACAGATGGAGTCAGAGCAAGACGGTGTTACCTGAGTTTCTTATATACATCATTTTATCTTATACATATTTGCTTTTATTTCAGATGTTTTCAAGTCACCGAACATTCACTGAGCATCTGCTACATACAAGGTGTATCTCCTGATCCTTGGGGGAGGAGAAGTGGGGGACAGAAGTGAATGAGTTATAGCATGTTCACTGTCTTTGAGGGACACTGGTGTAGCAAAGTGGTAGACATGGGGATGGCAGAGTACTCTAAATTACAGTCCCAGTCCCAGTAAGGTCTGAGCACAAGGACCCCTGACTCTGCTCAGGACCCCATGGAAATCTTCCTGTATCAGGGGATGCTTGAAGTGTTCAGGGGTCATCCAGTTGCATTTTGTGGTCTGTGAGTCAGTTACTCCAGGTAGAAGTGCTGAGTTTTTTTTTTTTTCTTAGTCAGTTTATTATCTACTTTTACATAGCTGCAACAATAGAACCTGACAGAAACTGCCCAAAGAAGCAAAGATTTATTTCTCATTGTTTCAGAGGGTTCAGAGGGCTCTAACCCATCGTGGTGGAGTAGCTCTTTTCATGGTGGTGGAAGCTGTTTACCTCATAGCAGACTAGGCAGTAGAGAGTAAGGCCGGAGGTAGGCAGGGATAGCATCCCTAAACCCATCCCCAGTGACCCATTTCCCCTAATTAGGTCCTACCTCCCAGAGTTTCCAGAAGCTCCCTCAAAACAGCACCCCTAGCTAGGAGACACTGTAAGGGACATTGCAGATGCAAACCATATGGGCTCCTGAAAAGTGTCTAGCTCCTGACTTTCCCACCAAGAACTCAGAACTGGCCTGTTTCCCCAGGTGTCAGTGACACTGTTTGCTTGGATTGTCAGCCCAAAAGATACTGGTGGGCAGGGCTCTTCCTCCTGTAAGGACAAGCTGACCCTACTGCCCCTACTGCCTTGGCCAGCTGCTGGGCTGTAGCAAGGCAGGCCAGGGTAGGGGGTTGCTGCCATCTGGTGGTCTGGCTCTGGCCAAGGCTTGGTCTTTCTTGGAGCTCTCTCAGTGACCTTTACCCTTCTGGTAAATCTATACAACACCCAGATTGACTGGGAGAAACATGATCATTTATCCTGCTAGAAGGAATCAAAGAAGAATCCTCCCTTCTCTTGCATATGTGCTCATCCTCAGCCAAGAAACCATAGATGCCCCTCTGAAGCACAGGGGAGAAGTTCTTGGTCCCTGGTTCTAAAGGGATTATGTGTCTGTAAGCAGCTGAGGCCAGATCTCCTTTCTGAACACCCCCACTGCCTGTTTCCCTCAGCAGAAAGGATAAGAGGGGGGGCCTCTCTGACACTTGATTTGGATCTCTGGACGGAGGTGACTAATCCTAACAGAATCAGCATGTGTTCTCATCGCTCTGGCCCCAGCCTGATATTGTTACCAGATGAGAACATGTCTTATTGAGTTTCACTCTTATGGCTGTGGAGACAGAGCCCTTTGAGTAATGGGCAGCCACACTGTGTCCTGAATAACACTGGACCCCCCTCCCTTGTCCTGGCCAAGCTGGGGTCAGAGCCTGTTCTTTATTACCACCCTGCCCCCAACTGCATGTTAGTATTAGGCTAGGACCCCAGGTTCCCCTGTGGAGTGTACAGCCCCTGCTTGCTGGTCCCTACCCTCTCGCTAAATCCTGGCAGCAGCCAGGGACCTGGGATCCCACTGGGCTTTTTGGGGCTTAATACGCTGTACTCTTCTCTCTCTGGAGATGAACATCTGCAACAAACCCTCCAACAAGACAGCCCCTGAGAAGAGTGTGTGGACAGCGCCTTCCCAGGACAGTGGACCTTCCCCAGAACTGCAGGGCCAGCGGTCTCGCCGGAATGGATGGAGCTGGCCCCCTCACCCGCTCCAGATTGTGGCCTGGCTGCTCTACCTCTTCTTCGCGGTGATTGGCTTTGGGGTCCTTGTTCCCCTCCTGCCTCACCCCTGGGTGCCTGCTGGCTATGCTGTATCCTTGGACTATATGGAACTGGAAAAGTTGGGGAGAGGGATAAATAGAAGAAGGCAGAGGTCTGAAGCTGGGTTCAGGGTCTTAGGGAGCACATGGTGGTGTAGAGCAGGGTTGACTCAGTTGATTTTCTGTCGGGCTCAGACTTCTCACTTGACCCTTCCTCTGATAAAAGTGAGTGTACAGCCCCAAAGTTCCTCCGAGCACATAAATATCAGAGAAGATCTGACAAAGACTCTGGAAGCTTCTTCAGACTGATGCTGAGCTAAAGAAAGGGCAAATCAGAGGCTGGGTATATAGCTCAGTTGGTAGAGTACTTGCCCAGCACATGCAAGATCTTGGGTTCAATCCGCATTTGAAACAGCAAGTTAGGGAGCAATTATTCCACTTGTGAGAGAATTTGTCATGGTACAGTTTCCCCACATAGTAAGTTTCTTGGTAAAATAAAATGTGGTTTTATTTTATAGACATTATTTTGCTATGCCTAGGAATATTTGCACGCTTATTGATTTTAGGATGAGGGTGTTTATGCCAAAAGGTGGCACAGAAATGCCCCGCAAGCTCCTAGAAAACAGTGACAAACACTAACTTGGTCGAGCTTTATGGTCTGGCTGTCCTATTCCTGGTCACAAAAGACATGGCTACAAGGCTGGGTGTAGGGCTCAGTGGGCCTCTGTGTGCCCCTGTTCAGAGAGTTCCTGTTACTGTCCACTGGCCTCAGCCTCCTGAAGAGGATAAGCTGGAGGGAACATGTCAGCAGGGCTGTGCTGATGAGAGCAGCTTCTCAAGCTCTCTGGTCCACAGGAAGGGTTCTGTTTGTTTCCAAGGCCTGAGTTGAGAATGAGGGCTTATTAGGAAGCATGTGAACATGCTAATGTAAGTGTGCTTTCTTGGGAGACCCCAGAGCCCTGGGCTGGTGAGTGACAAAGGCAGTTGAGTGACAAGAGAGTTTCTCGAGAAGATTGTCATCCTCAGACATTAGCAAAGTCATTGGGGGCTTCCTGGTTCACAGGAGCCCAAGGCCAGATCATCAGCTGGATAACTTGCCTTAAGATTCATGGGCCTGCATGTGATTAGGTGGAATGCTTCCTGGGACATTCTCTGTCTGAAATAGCTCCACCCCTGGTTCAGGGTTGCCCAGGTACCCTGCGTGTACCTGGCTTGTAGTGAGGAGGATCAGAGCAAGTAGCAGTAAACAAAAGTAGCATTTACTGAGCACTTCCATATGCCACACACTTGGTCCTTATGATAACCCTGTAAGGAATGGATTTTCCCCACTAATAAAGTATATTAGTTAAGTTTCTTTTGCTGTGATGACATACCATGAACAAAAACAAGTGGTAGGCGAGTTTCTTTTAATGGTCCCAGGGGGTTAGGTAATGTTCATAATGGTGGACTGGGCGTGGCAGTAGGCAGCCATGAGGCATGAGCAGGAACCTAGCTGATCACATCTCAACTGCACACAGGAAGCAGAGAGAGAGTGAGTAGGAAGTAGAACAAGGCTATGAACCTTCAAATCCCGCCCCCCAATGATGTACTTCTCCAACAAGGTTGCACCTCATAAAGGTTCTATAACCTCCCCAGCAGCACCAGTAGTTGGTGACCAAGTGTTTAAATACATGAACGTATGGGGCCATTTCTCATTCAAGACCATGTGAAGAAAGAGATTCAGACAGGACAGTGCCTTCTGAGGTCACACAGCTGCTATCCAGTGAGGCCAGAAGGGCAGCTCAGGCTGAGGAAATGGAATGATTTGAGGGTTTGATCTTCTTCATATTTTCTCTTTATCTTCTTTGAGCCACGTGGAAGCTCCCAGAGCCACCTAGTCTGGCAGCTTGCCCAAGGTTATATGGTGCCATCAAAGTCTCCTTCTGTTAAAGCAAGCTCTCAGGGCCTCTGAGGAATGAAGCAGGTACCAAGTCCCCACTGTGGGCCCAGATTGGGCCTGAGCTTCAGGGATGTAAAGGTGAGCTTTAGGTGCTTAGTGGCCCGGGGGAGGGGAGATTGGTAGGTTGAACACAGTAGTTACCCTCCATGTAAATGTTGGGAAGGGGCTCAGATGGCAGACTGGGAGCAGAAAAATGCCATCATCTCTAGCAGCCTGGCACACACCTAGCAGCACACACCTACTGGCAGCCCCCTTCTCCCAGCTCATTCACATGCTTGGCCCCCTTTCCTCCACTGCTGACAGCAGTCAGCCATCACCACTGTTGAGTTCACCTCTTTCCCCAGTTTCCTGCTGCTCCTTCAACTGCTCTCTGCCTCTCTAACCTAGATGGCTGTTTAATTTCCAAGTAAGTCTCCCCGTGCATTCCTATTTCTGGCTACCTGCAGCTGTAGAGTACTACACACACACACACACACACACACACACACACACACCTGATAATGTTTCACCAGCTCAAAATCTAGCAGCTTTAGCAACTTCTTCCTGCTTTAAGAAATGAAGCTTGGGGGCTGGAGAGATGGCTCAGAGGTTAAGAGCACTGACTGTTCTTTCAGAGGTGCTGAGTTCAATTCCAGCAACCACATGGTGGCTTACAACCATCTGTAATGAGGTTTGGTGCCCTCATGCTCCAGAACATTGTATACATAATAAATAAATCTTAAAAAAAAAAGAAATGAAGCTTGGCCGGGCAGTGGTGGTGCACACCTTTGATCCCAGCACTCAGGAGGTAGAGGCAGGTGGGTCTCTGTGAGTTCAAGGCCAGCCTGGTCTACTGAGCGAGTTCCAGAACAGTCTCCAAAGCTACAGAGAAACCCTGCTTTGAAAAATAAAAAAAAAAAAGAAATGAAGCCTGGGGGCTAGAGAGATGGCTCAGAGGTTAAGAGCGCTGGCTGCTCTTCCAGAGGACCTGGGTTCAATGCCCACTAACCACTTGGTGGCTCAGAGCCATCTATAATGAGATCTGGTGCCTTCTTCTGGCATGTAGGCAAAATACTGTATAATAAATAAATAAATAAATATATCTTTAAAAAAATAAAAAAATGAGGCTTAAGCTTAGGCCTCATGGCTTTCTGCATGTGAAGTCTGCCTGTCTATTCAGCTTCCTTTTATTTCACCTGTTTTGACAACAATGATCTCTTCCAGAAGCCCTTGCTTCACCAACCAGCTGAGTCAGAGGTCAAGAGCTGACAGCCCAGTGGGCCAGTCTGGTTGGCAAATTGTGTAAAATTGTAGGATGATGAACACCAAACATGTACAGGTTTTCTACATGTTTTAAAAATCATTTCTTTTAACATTTAAACATTGAGAGATCTCACATGGAAGCCTAGATATTTTTTTTTTCCGAGACAGGGTTTCTCTGTGTAGCCCTGGCTGTCTGGGAACTCGCTCTGTAGACCAGGCTGGCCTCAAAATCACAGAGATCCACCTGCCTCTTCCTCTCAAGTGCTTGGATTAAAGGTGTGTACCATTATCCCTGGCAAGCCTAGAATATTTTAATTCCCTTTGAAAGCTCAGAATTTGGCAGCCTGGGCCCTCATCCTTATATGGCAGTCATGAGCTGGGACAATACTTTAGCCACCCCTCTGACTGACACCTTTGCATGGCTCTGGTATCAGTCCTTTTCCCTGTGCCTAGCCTTCCAAGGCCCTGTTACACATTCTTTTCCACATCTCAGCTGCGATGACACTTCTTCAGAGAAGTCTTCCAGATTCTGTCAGACTAGATCAAGTCATCAGCTACAAACTGATGGAACTGATCTATTGTTTGATTAGTATCCGTGCTTTCCATCATGCAGAAGGCTTCTTAGGGCTCAGGACCAACTCTCCATATTCCTTCATGCCTGGTGCAAAGGGAAGAACTGGGTAAACAGTTGAGTGAATGAAAGGTAGAGAAGGCTGGGAGAAGACAGGAAGCTAAATGTTTGCCCACAGTGACTTCTGGAGTTGGGAGAAACCAGAGCAAGGTGAATTCTGGCTCTGGGCTAAGGCATGAACTTTGGCTAGAGAGCCATTAGAGCCACTGTAGGCCTTGAAGAGCTTAGGCATGGGCTTTTTGAAAGCACACTTCTGGAACACAGGAAGAGTAGACTCTGGAAGAGAAGAGTGAGGTTCTCAACCAGCAAAGAGGTGAAGAGCTGACCCATAGCATTGGCCATAACAATGGAGAGCTCAGTGTCAAGCACAGATTCAGCTCTTTCAGCTGTGGTACAGCACATTTTGGAAGCCTACCTCATACAGACAGATGAATTTGGCTACTGAGTGAGAGTAAGAAGGCTGTTGGGCAGCTGGTAGGTGAAGGATAAATAGGTGAAGGATAAATTAGATCCTGAGGGATGGAGGGATGCTACCTGCCTGGCTAGGAGGAGGACAGAGTGCTCATGGCTGAGTGGGTAGAGGGAAGAAAAGAAGCATCTGCCTGGATGGAACTTATTGGTGAGCTTGTGTATAGATTTTGCAGCCAGTTAGCAGCATACTCATTTCCTGTAGTTGGCTCAGCTAAATCCTGGGAAAGCTTCATTTTACTTTCAGAGGTTAGCTACACTGCCCTGTTCGGCTATCCCCGAACATGTGAGACTATCCCAGACACTCAGCTTAGGGTGCCAAGTACCTGGACTTGAGGGGGAGGCAGCAAGTAGATTAGTCCTGTCTGCAAGAGGTTCTCCATCTGTCCCTGGCTATTGAAAGGGGGTAGCTACCTCCATCTCAGAAGTTGCTTCCTATGAAAGCAAGGAAAACAAGCTCAGAGTTTCAGCTTAGATCTCTGGACCTTAGGAGATGATGTCTTTTAGTCTTTTTCACCTTCTGAAATCTGAGACCTGTACCAGAAACTGGCCTGTACCAGGCCTGAAATGGTAAGGCCCAGGCCCTGTGGCTAGAGACCTTCTGTGGTAGTAGTAAGTAGTCCTGACCTCTGGGCTCCATTATCATATGACCCTATTCAGTCCAGGGCTTAGGTGTCCGAGAAAGAAATCTGGTGACAGGCAGAGTCTCGGTACAAAGGCAATCTGCATGGATGGGGAAATCCTCTGTCCAAGTAAGTGGGTGGGGCTCCTGGTTTGCACAGTACGGACTGAGTCTTTAACCTGTTGGGCTAGTGCATGGGTGCCATCTTTGCTGGCCACCTTGTGGTGCACCTGACTGCTGTCTCCATCGATCCAGCAGATGCCAATGTGCGGGACAAGAGCTATTCTGGGCCCCTGCCTATCTTCAACCGCAGCCAGCATGCACATGTCATTGAAGACCTGCACTGCAACCTGTGCGACGTAGATGTGTGAGTGCGTGAGTGTGAGTGAACATGTGGGCCATGAATGTGCCTGGAGGGTCACAAGTTATATTCAGGGTAAAGAGGGCATGCCAGGCTTCACAGTTATTCTTATGCCTCTGAACACTTGTCCTTTCCATAGGCAAAGTTGTGGTGGAGGCACACCTTTAATCCCAGCACTCAGAAGTCAAGAGGCAGACAGATCTCTGTGAGTTCAGGCCAGCCTGGTCTACAGAGTGACTTCCAGGCCATCCAGGGCTCTACAGTAAGACCCTGTCTCAAAAACAAAACAAAAAGAGTCTTGGCAGAGCTGGCATGGTGGTGCATAGCATAATCCCAACAATTGGGAGGCTGAGGAAGGAGGATTTCAGTGAGCTTGAGGGTATCCAGGGCTACATAGTAAGACACAGACTCAAACAAACACCCCACAAACAAACAAAAAAGACAAAGTCTTGGCAGAATGGCCCGAGAGTGATTAGAAAAAAGGATGAGGAATAGTATTTCCTGTAGCAAAAACAGGAAGCATTTGGCAGCACCACATCATTTCTAAATGGCTTCCAGTAACATCTTTAGTTTCTTAAAAGCACCTGGATAGGGACATGAGGGGGTTAAGCCTTAAGTGTTCTGGGATAAGTACTGTGTCCTTTAACAAAAGAGTCAGAACCTACTGCTCAGACGGAGGTGTCCTGAAATCACAAGGCTACTGAGCAGCAGAGTCAAGGTCATATTAGCTGTGTACCCCCAATCAGTTACCCATGAAGGGTCTGAGGCCAAAGAGGCAAGTCGTTTGTTCCATGTCCTACTGCTATTGACAGACATGGAACACCCATTCTCCTTTGGCAAATCCCAGTACCTCTTTCCTACATTACTGGAGTTTGGAAATCTCCAGACTCAGGTTGGGGTTGAGGGATAGAATGTAGCTCAAGGCCAGCTCCACACTTAGAATTTGCAGGCTAAAGTAGCCTGTTAGAAGGGGTCTGTCTACAGGAACCCAAAGGCCTGTTGTCATTCCCTAAGCAGCAGCTAGCAAATGTTCTGAGTGGCTCTGGTGGTTGCTCTCTGAGACTGACGGAGGAAGGTCATGCTATGCTCATACTCACTTGGGTCTTCTGTGATGCCTCCTGGGGGAGACCCCACTTGTATTCTAATTCTCTCACATGCCCCTAGATGACAGTGAACACCTCTTCTTTTGGCTCCTGTACAGTTAGCCCACACAGGCCTTCTGGAAGAGTGCCAGAAAATTTCCCGTAGGATGGCAAGGAAAGTGACCCCAAAATGGAGCTGTTAGAAATGCAATTAATGCACCCGTTGGGCAGCTATGCACTCTGCCTCAGGTCCACACCTGTATCTGTGTGTGATCTGGCACAGAGGTCCTTGCTTGGAAAGGACTCCTCCTTTCCTTCTTATGTGAACTTTACGTAGGTATGTAGTTCAAGAGTAGGGCCCCACAAAGCACCCCTCTTCCTTCTACCGTGGTTCTCAGAACCCTCTCCAGGGGTCCCACCCTGTGTTTCCGCCAGAGGGCGCGTGTGCTCCTCATTGCAGCGATCCGGGAGGGGCGGAGGTGCTTGTGGGTAATTAGGAAGCAGGCCTGACTCAGGTCCTTACACCTGCCAAGGTGGGGTGGGCTGGCCGACCGCGAGGTCCCTTCCCCAACCTTCCTCAGGAGTGCGCGATCGAAACACTGCAGCGCCTGTAACAAATGTGTATGCGGCTTCGACCATCATTGCAAGTGGCTCAACAACTGCGTGGGCGAGAGGAACTATCGGTGAGAGTCAGCTGGGGTCTGGGACTCTATTGAAAACTCCTTGTAACATAGTTGTGGGTAGGGATGTACGCATGCTGAGAAGGTGATACTTGGGATGGATGAGGGTGGGTTTGGAGTCTTCCATCCTATTGGTCCAGATGAAGATGGGGAGCCTGATAAGTAGTTGTCCGTCTTCAGGCTCTGTGACTTTGACTTCTGAGGAGTTGGGGCTTTGGGTTCAGGAGCCTGGCTTCTGAGCTTCTGGCCCTTACTAAGCTGGGTTCCTGAGTGCTGACAGCTGCCTGTGGCTGGGCCAGGCTCTTTTTACACAGTGTGGCATCTGCTTTGTTGGGTGTTCTGCTCCTGGTGCTGGTGGCCACTTATGTCTTCGTGGAGTTCTTTGTCAACCCCATGCGGCTTCGTACCAACCAACATTTTGAAGGTCAGTGTGGGTTCTAGACACAGACATGTTTTAGTCAATGCACCCCTGATCCCTGGCTAAGCACAGACTGCCTATGCCTTGCAGTCTTGAAGAATCACACAGATGTGTGGTTTGTGTTCTTGCCTGCTGCCCCTGTGGAGACCCAGGCTCCTGCCATCCTGGCCCTGGCTGCCCTACTCATCCTTCTGGGCCTGCTTTCTACAGCTCTGCTTGGCCACCTGCTCTGCTTCCACATGTATTTAAGTGAGTGCCTCCTCCAAGCATTCATGGGGGTCAAGTCTCTACTACAGGGAGGTACCTTTTGGGCTGTAGAGCCTTGAAGTGGTGAACCTTACCAGTGTTGGTTCCTTGTGGTAGGCCTGGTTTTGCCCTGCTTCTTATATGTGGATAGGGATTTGAACCTAGTGCTGGGTGCCCTCCATTCTAAGTTCCACCTCTGCACCACTGACCCCCTCTTCCCACACCCACCAGTGTGGCACAAACTTACCACCTATGAGTACATCGTACAGCACCGCCCAGCCCAGGAAGCAAAGGAGACCCACAAGGAGCTTGAGTCATGCCCCCGGAAGATGCGGCCCATTAAGGTACAGAGGTGGCCCAGAGACCTGGGCATGAAGTGTGTGTGTGTGTGTGTGTGTGTGTGTGTGTGTGTGTGTGTGTGGCTGTGCATCAAGAACCGTTGAGTAGACCCTGCAAGGGAAGGAAGCAAGCCTAGAATCGCAGCTGGAGTGGGCTCTGGGGAAGCAGGACCCAGCCTGTGCTGGGCCGGTGGGCACCAACATAGCCAAAAGCTATGCAGTTTCTGCAGTCCCATGTACCTTCCTTCCACACGCCAGGCATGTAGTACAGGAAGCCAACCACCAGTTATCAACTAAGTAGTTAGGCTGTAATTATCAGTTATCATCTGTATTCTTGACTTCTTACATCTTATCCTATTTTAGTTTTAGAGCAGGGGCAACTGTTAACAGTCCATGTTAAAGATGGGCCCATTGAGGTCCAGAAAGGTTAAACAGAAGCCTGGTCTGGGAAGAGTTAAGGTCTCTACACACAGAGAACAAAGCAAGAAGCCTGCAACCTAGGCTTTGGCCTGGCCAGCCCAGCTGCTGACCAGCCTATCTCTATTCCCATGCCCCCTGGCTTCCTGAGGTCAGCAGCTGGGGATGGAGGTGGTCCAGTCCTTAAAGCCCCTAGGGACTGTAAAGGCAGGGGGCCCAGGCAAGCTTTGCTGGGAAGGCTGAGCCCTGGATCCCAAATCCTCATGGCAACTGGATACACAAACAGGCTGGTGGGCGGGTTGGAAAAGGACCCTGCCTCTCCTTTTCTCATCTCCAGTGGCGCAGGCTGAGGAGTGTTAGCAACTGGTAGAGAACCCTGGCATGCACACACCTACCCTGGGCTCTGTGCTGGGCTCTGAGCTGCGTACAGATAGTGACAGCCATCCTAGAGTATCAGGAGAGGAAGTAGGCAAGACTTGCTCTGTGATGCCCAGACTCCAGGGTCCTGTACCTTTTGGGCCCAGCTGTGATAACAGCAAAGATGTTTAATTCAATTCTGTTTGTCTACAGCTAACTTGAGGCACCCAATAGGAGCTGGGTGCTGGTCCTCTTTCACAGAAGAGAGGCTCTAAAGTACTGCTCAGGAATGTGCAAATATTTGAAGGTTTCTGAGGATCAGTTCTGAGGAGAGGAGGGAAGTCTGAATGGGCACCTCCTGGTGATATCTTCAGAATTTGCTTTAGCTGTTTAGGGCCTGACTTCTATGCTAGTGTGGAGACTAGGGGATCCAAGGTAGCCGTTGTTCCCCTCTGCTGGGTTTAGTTCCTACTAAAAGAGGGGAAAGGTGTGGGGAAAATGACCTTCAGGCTCCAGTACCTGGGACTAGCTTCTGACCTCTGTGCTGCTCTGCTTGGGCAGGTATCCTGTATCCTCCCCAAAGGGTCATCTTGGGCACAGTGTGAGCATGGGCTTATCTGTGGCCTGAGTCTTTACACCTGTGCAGTTAGCCTGTGGTTGGCTGAACTTTATCCTAGTCCCTAAAACTCTCAGGGACCCGGCAGGCAGCCTCCCCACCCCCACCCAGCAGGAATTTGGGAGGGGCCCCTCTGTAGAGCCGTTGCCCCCAAAACATAGGCTTGTTTTAGAGACGCTTTCTGTTACAGTGTAGTCTCTGCCTTAGTCAGGACGCCTCTGTCACCATGGAAACAACTGCCTAGTAGGCGACAGCTGTCTGTGTGCTCCCTCCAGCTCATGGGCCCCGCCCTTTGCCCTCTGCCCCACGCCCTTCCTGAGCTGGCTTTTCCCGGGCTTTATTTCTTCACCTGCAATTCTCTCTAGCAAAGCTGGAGGCATCTGGCATGCAGTGGTGTTGGTCTAGTCACTCCCAGCCCGTTTGCTTCAGGGTTGGTTACTTCACTGCCATTGCATTCTCTTTGTATGGATGGACTAAGATTCAGGCCTGTAGTACTGTTTCAACTGGGGACAACAATGATTGCACCCACATCCTCCTTCCTAGCAGCCAAAATTACAGCTGGCTCTCTGAGAGTGAAGGATGCACTTGGTATGCTGCCAGTGTGACCCCTTGGTGTTCACAGTCTGGAGCACACAAATTGTTGGTCTGTGAACAGCTTTGTGGTCTCCTGGCCACTGAACCAGTTAGTTCAGTGGCTGGAGCCCTAAGAGGAGCCAGGAGCAGGCGAGGGCCACTCTTGAGTGTCTTGTCCCTAAGAACCTCTTGGCTATGCTTCCCAGGCTGGGCATACTGTACCTAAGGGCCTGCAGCCTTCCTCAAGTAGAATTGCTGGAGTTTGACTAGATGAAATGAGTCCCTGTGATGAGGTAAGGTCTGGAAATAAGTGAAGCTTTGCTCTGAAGAAGGGCTTTCCCAGCTCATCTGAGAACCAGGAAGACAGCCCTAGACCCTTTAGGACATGAGACCAGCAAGCTAGAGAGGCTGGTGACAAGGTGTGCCCAGGGCTTAGGAGGCTGTGGATACAGACATGGCCTCCCAGCCTTCCTGATTCCTCTCTCTCGAGGAGATGGAGTTTTACATGAGGACCTTCAGCCATGTGCGTCCAGAGCCCTCTGGCCAGGCCAGGCCAGCAGCATTAAATGTCCAGTAAGTACCACCTGGCTGTCTCCATGGGAGGTGGGAGAAAGGGAGGTAGGTCAGGGGCAAAAACGTGGGTCTGGGTCCAGCTCAGCAAAGTCGTGGATGGATCAGTGTCTCTCTGTCCTGCTAGGAAGAGAGAACTAGGGAACCTCTAGCAGGGAGGGACTCCGGGGGCAGCATCTAGAGCTCGCTCTCTGGCTTTTACCTCAGTCCTTCCCAGTTTCTTGCCACCCAAGGCCAAGTGGAACCACCACTGCCCTCCTCCTCAGACACACTGGCTCTGCCTCCACGGATCCAACCCCAGGTAGGAGGGACTGGGTTTGGACCTCTGCCCAAGAAGAGGGAGATGGAAAGGAAGCCTCCACTCTGAGGAGTACCTCTGCTGCTTTTGGCAATGTGGGGTCTAGGGAAGTGGCCCACACTCCCTGTCTTTGCAGAAAAAGAGGAAGCGGCGTGTATATAAATTGTCCAGGTCTGGGGTCTTGGGCCGGGAGCCCCCGCTGCCCAGGATACAGGGTGAGCACCCCTCTCTGCTTTGGTCCTATTGCGTTAGTTCGAGGGAGGGAGAGGTTTTAAGGCCGTAGCTGCAGCCCTTGTCTTAACCAAAGTTCCCCTCACTGTGCAGGGACTGGGACCCCTGGCCGCCATTCCAGCTCTTCGTCGGATTCCATCAGTGCCAGCCCGGTACATGTGGCTGGCTCTGCAGGCGCTTACTACTCAGCATCAGCCGAGTCCATGGAAGAGATTCCAGTGGCCCAGACACGCCTGGGTAGTGCTGCGCTGGGCGCCCCAGGAACCAGGGGCCGAGAGTCTGGGCTGGCGCTACAGGCACGTTCTCCGGCCGTTTTTGTGAGCCCGAGCAGCGGCGAGCCCGGGACACCTGGTGGTGGTGAAGATGGCCTGCCTTAGCGCTTGCGGCCCGACTCTATGCAACACCCCATCTTCGCCGCCGCACTGAGTGCACTTTAGGGGCCTCGCGGCCGGCGGGATCGGCCTCCTTTGCCCAAGACTCAGCAATATCCGTGCCGCCAGCCCTGATGCTCCAATAAACTTTTTTTTTTTATGCTTTTGCGGGCTTAGTGCTTATTTTTCATAATGGGAAGAGCAGTGACTCTTCCAGAAGCCGGACTGTGACTGTTACTAGCTGGCCTGGGGCAGAGAGTGGGGTGGGTTAGGAAAGATTGTGGAAGGCTCCCTAGAGGATTTTTAAGTGTTGGGATTAAACATGGGGTCTTGTTTATTATAGTCAAGCACTACTTATTACTCTCCTCTCCTCTGTTCCTCCTCGCGGTTCCTTTGTAGCCCAGGCTAGCCTCGGCATTTTGAACCCACTGCTTCAGTCTCCTGAATGGGGGATGCAGGCTCGGGAGGCAGCAATGGAGGCAGAGGCTGTGAGGCAGAGGAGAGGAGAGGCGGCAATGGAAGGAGGCAGCCCTTCTCAAGGTCTGGGAATTGCTTCCTGATAGTGGTCACCATCAAAGTACCCAGCATTCGGGGCTCCAGAATCTGCACGCTACTCAGAACCTGGGAGTAGCTGGCAAATGCCACATTTAGCAGTAACTGTGGTCTTTGAGCTAGCTGAAGACCCTCGTCAGTGAGGGACGGGATCCCGTTCTTCAATTCAGCTTCTAAACAGTCTCAAGGTGACTCTTTTGAGGAGTCCCTTACGAGTTGGAGACCCTGCTGGAACTTTGGGGGGCTGTTTTCCCATTGGCCATGGAAGTTCCTATCCTAGGACATCCAGGACTGCAGAGGGCAGCTCTGGCTGCTTGAGGACCGCGTTGAAGGGGAGGGGCAGGATAAGGTTGTCGCCGCAACTCCAAGGGCCCAGTGCCTACAGAGCACACAGGGCGGGGTCTGGTGGGAGGAGCCAGCGTGACCTTGGTCACTCTCCCGCCGAGACTGCCTAGGGGGTGGGACTTACCGTCTCTATGGTGACCGAGAAACAAGGGATAATACCACGGAGCCGCCCCGGCTGCAGTCCCGTCCGGGAGCCAGCAGGGAGCGGAGCTGTGGAGCCTCCTGGTCTCCAGCATCTGTCGATTAGTTCCTGGGTCCTGTCTATCCGAAGGCACGCTCAGGAGCAGCCACGAGATAGAAGCCGGTAGGAGAACTGGACATCGACCACCTAGTTAATATCCTCCACAAGGAGGGGTGGGTGGGAGCAGCCTGTACCAACACTTGGATGGTACTGAGCTGAGGACACCAGCTGAGCACCCCGGCCCTGGCCCCAAGCGTTCACACACACCCCTGCCCCCACCTCCTTGCTAGGCTGATTGATGACTGCAGCTGTCCCAGCAGGAGCTGACGGGAGGATTCAGTTCAGAGGCGTGATCACTCCATCCAAGGCCTACAGACCCCAGAGCAGCTGTCTGTGATTTTGTTCCACCTGAACAGCCCCCTATCCATCTTCCCATAGATAGAAATGAGCCTTAGGCTCAGGACCCTCCCATTTCCTTGAGACATTCATGGTGTGGCACTCACTCTCCTGGACATGTTTACCCTTGGTGACCAAATGCAGGGCCTTGGGTTCCCGATTGGGGTTTGCACCTTGGGAGAGGCAAAGGGAAGTGCAGAACCACCTGGGTTACAGTCCCACAGAGATCCCTGAAGTGTGGAATCTTTGGGTTTCCTAGTCGTAAGAACTGCAACTTATGGATAAGCAGGTGTGGTCACCAGCAAGGGGCTTTCAGTGTCTACTTATGGAAGAAGGGGAAGCTGTGTGTGGATGCATGTGTGTGTGTGTGTGGGGGGGTCGTGGTCATTGGTGATTTTTTTCTAAGAGACAGAGGTAAAGATGGTGGCTGAGAATGATGGTGTGGTCGGGATGCAGTGGGTGTGGTGATGGTGGTATGTCCTTACATGATGCAGGAGTATGGAAATGCCAGTGCTGGTTAGACTCTGAGGGGCTTTGGGGTAGCCTGTGTAAATATCTCTAGGTATATGGATAAAGTGGGAGAGCTAAGGGTGTGGTCAGGAAACTGCTGTATGAGTGTGAGGTGGTGGGTGTTCAACATTTTGCATGGGGGTATGGAAATGTTATTGCATAGATTGGACACTGTGGGGGATGTTCAAGGCAGGGCTGTCAGAAGCGGTAAGTATATAGAATAATTGGATGCTCTAGAGCAGGGGGGGGGGCCTCTGTAAGGGCCGTGAGTGCAGAGTCAAGTTAGTGAGTGTGGTTGGGGTCTTCAGGATGGGAATGAAAAGGATGCAAAACGGGGATTCAAGTGTGGCACAGGGTTTGAGCTGTAGAGGGAGTTTCGCAGTGGGGCTGAGGGTGTGGTCAGAGGACTGCTGTAGAGAGCTGAGTGAGGGTGTGGTCAGGGGCTGCAGTAGGGCGCTATGAATATGCACCTCAGTGCAGGGCTGAGGGTATGGTCAGGGGTGATGGCCGAGGGTGTGGCGAGCCAGAGCTCAGTGCATATGAGCTGTGGGAATTCAGGGTGTGTTGAGAAGACCTTAGTAGGGGACTGAAGTGTAGACAAAGGGATGTGTGCTTCAGGGAAGGATTGAAGCACAAAGACCATGTTCCCCCTAGCAGCATGGAGGAGTTTAGGAGCTACTCTATACGCCTCCACTTAGGCTCCTTCCAATTTCCCACTCCTAAGCTCCACAGACTGGGAGCTACAGCTTCAATCAGTGGCAAGGGGCCAGGAAGCCACTGTTGTGCCCTAGGCTTAGGGAGTGCTGGCATGCCCCACCCGTGGGCCCCTGATCCCCAGCCCAGCCCAGCCCAGCAGCACTGGGAGCTTCTCCCTGAAGCCGCCCTGACACCATCCTACCCTTAGCAACACTCTCCAAGCAGCACCACCCTCCCTTAGCAACTGTCTCCAGGCTTCACAAACTGTGGCCAGGCCAGACCCAAGTTCCTGCTCCCCTCATGTTTTTGTTTAACAGCAAATAGTAACAAGGCCAGGGCTGGGCCAGCTGCACCCCTGCCTAGGGCATGCACCACTGCCCTTGCTCCTGCTCTCTTGTCAGGCTTAGGCTGGGCTTTTCTAAGTCTTCATGACCCTTAGAGAGTCACTGTCCTTAGTAAATACCTGCCCATACACCAGCCTTGCCTGGCACTGACCCAGCTTGACATAGAGCTTTCAGGGAGGAAGGGCTTTTCTGTCCCCCCCCCTTTCACCCAAGTAGGCTTTGTGCCAGGGATAGACAAAGCCGTGCCCTAGCTGCTTCCTTTAGTCTTTCTGGACAGTGCCACTGTGTTCTCAGCACTGTGTGGGCACCATGATCTCATCTTCTGAGTCCTATTGAGAACCAGGACTGGCACTGAGTGTCAGGACCTTTCTGCCCATGGCTCTTCCTCAGCTCTGGGGCACAAGAAGACACAAGGTGCTAACCCCTCTCCCCAGACAACCCAGGCCTGACTGAGGGACTGTTCCAGAAGTGTGGCCAACTCAGACCTTGTAGGTTTTGAGATGGCAGTATGGATGTTCTGGGTCTAGAGGAGGGAGCAGTAGTTTGGATGGGAGGTAACTGAGGTGGATCCCTACAGGGTGGCATGGCAGCAAGCACTGATGTAGCTGGGCTGGAGGAGAGTTTCCGAAAGTTTGCCATCCATGGCGACCCCAAGGCCAGTGGGCAAGAGATGAATGGCAAGAACTGGGCCAAGCTGTGTAAGGACTGTAAGGTGGCTGACGGAAAGGCCGTAACAGGTACAGACGTCGACATCGTCTTCTCCAAAGTCAAGTAAGTGCCAGGCAACCCCCGTTTCTCATGTTCCCAGAAAGTGGGGAGGTGGGGGCTGGAATCAGGGAGGATATGGAGAAGGGGAAACCCTTATGGTGTATATGGTGCCTGGCAGGGCAAAGTCGGCTAGAGTAATCAACTATGAGGAGTTCAAAAAGGCCCTGGAAGAGCTGGCAACCAAGCGGTTCAAGGGGAAGAGCAAAGAAGAGGCCTTTGATGCCATCTGCCAGCTGGTAGCAGGCAAGGAACCAGCTAATCTGGGTGTCACTGTAAGTGCCTTGCTCCCCCTGCTGCTGGAGTGGGGGTGGGTGGGTAGGATGGGCCAGGTTCCCTCTCAGGTGACCCTGTGGGAACTCTGTCCAAACAGAAAGCAAAAACAGGAGGTGCTGTGGACCGGCTGACTGACACCAGCAAGTATACAGGTTCCCACAAAGAACGCTTCGATGAGAGTGGCAAGGGCAAGGGCATTGCTGGACGACAGGACATCCTGGATGACAGTGGCTACGTGAGTGCCTACAAGAACGCTGGCACCTATGATGCCAAGGTGAAGAAGTAATACCTGGGAAGGCCCGGCCCCCAGTGGGGCTGCTCCACTGGAGGCTCAGGCCTGGGTCAAGGGTCACATGGAGCAAGAAAGCCTGGTTCCCTCCCTGCTGGATCTGCCACCAAGAGCTTCCTGCCCAGTCCCAGGGGCCATCCCATCAGGCCTCTGACCCAGACTGCTGTGTCCCTCCCTTCTTCTTGTCTCCCTGATTTCGGTCTGGGAGTCAGTGCCTATGCCCTCACTGCCCCAGCCTGGTCCCAGGCATGGCTGACTCTTGCCTGCTTGCCTCATATTTAAGCTGCTGCTCTGGCCAAGTGCCTAATTCTTACCCAGACCTCAATAAAGACACCTTTTGTACCAATATGGACTGGCCCGGGTTTACGGTGATGGGGTCATGGCATTCACACTGCAGTTCCCCCTTGGTATTGTCACCCTCCTGTATATACACCCTGCTGGGCTCTGCCTTCCCATTGGCATCCCTGCCCAGAAGAGTGGATGAGATCCCCTTCCATTAGTGCAGAGCAGAGCCACACTGTCCAAGATGGCCGTAGGGAGACACAAAACAATTTACAGGACCCTGACCCTGGAGTGATGACATCACAGCCTGCTGCCCTATCAGTAAGGACCTCAGTTTGCACTCAGTATTTGCACAGCAGAAGGAAGGATGAAACAGCACACTTTATCTGAACCATGCCTTGGCAGACTCAGCACCGGGCCTCAGTGCTATGGCTGCCAGCAGGGGCTATTAGGGTAACACATTCTGGGCTCTAGCCCAGAATCTCAGGTCTAGAAGGAACCCGAGAGAATAAACAGTTGATTCCCTAATTTTATGGCTGAGGAAACTGAGGCCTAGGGAAGAAAAAGACTTCTACAGATGAGTCCTGGACTATAAACGTCTCATCTTCATGCCAGCCCCGTTCTGGCACAGCAGGCCCCAACACCATTTCCCAAAAATGGGGCCTCATGGCCAGTGATGAGCCTGGTGTCCCACAGTGAGGGACTGGCTGGTTCCCTTCCATCTGTTCACCATTCTTATGGGGAAGGTGGGGCCCTTCTGCTCCCTTCAGATCATCAGCCCTCTGAGTCCCTGGTGTCTGGCCAGAGCTGTTCCAAGCACAGGCTTCATTGCCAACTCTCCTTCCTTGCTATGGTAACAAGGAGAAGGGTGGACTTGAGGCCTCCATGAGAGGGAAGCTTCTGAGGTGTTGTACAGAGCTGCAGAGGCTCATGTTCACCAGGGACTTCTTTCCTGACCTGAGCACAAGTGAGGAAATGTAACTGTATTCCCTCATCCTGCAGACTGTTCTGGGATGTGCTGCTTAGCCTGGGCTTAGGCCCGGCCGTGTAGCAACGAGAGATGCAGACAGATGGTGTGGGATGGACAAGGACAAAGGTCGGCTGGAAAGCAGAGGGCACAGGCTGGCACCTGCCTCCCAGTTGTCAGCAGCTGGTTCCTCACTGGGTTGTCCCTGTCCTCTCAAGCTACCTGGGTAGGGTTTCAACCTTCCTTTCCCCAGCAGTAAAGAAGTGGTCCCTTAGTCTAGCAGGGATATCTGAATTGCAAGCTTTGCATCAGTGAGCATTATGTGAGACCTAAATCCTTCTAGCTCCCACTCTCTGAAAGATCCTCACAGCAAATGAGTCCACCTGTGTCCATACTGGGCCTCATGCTCAGCTAGAGCTGCTGGGGTCGGGGGAGTAGCTAATGAGGAGGGGAGTGGCAGCCTGTTCATTCCTGTGACTATTGGGGATGGGAGAGAGAGAGAGAGAGAGAGAGAGAGAGAGTGAGAGAGAGAGAGAGGAGAGAGGGAGGGCGAGAGAGAGAGAGAGAGAGAGGAGAGAGGGAGGGCGAGAGAGAGAGAGAGAGAGAGGAGAGAGGGAGGGCGAGAGAGAGAGAGAGAGAGAGGAGAGAGGGAGGGCGAGAGAGAGAGAGAGAGAGAGAGAGTGAGAGAGAGAGAGAGGAGAGAGGGAGGGAGAGAGACAGAGACAGAGACAGAGAGAGAATTGCTTGACCCCGAATGAACTCTCCTTGGTAGGAGTAAAATCCCTTGTTTTCCTTGAAAAGCCACATAAAGGCAAAGCAGCTCAAGGTCCACTTAGTGCCAGGGAGACTCCTTGTGGCTGAAAACTGTGGGTACGTTCTCTAGCAAGGGTAGGCTGGCAAGGACACCCCATTAAACCCTGCCTACAATGGGGAAGTCTAGGCCCCTGTCTCTGGGCAGAGACCTACCTCCTGAGAACTGCTGCACACCAGACTTGTCTTCTCCAGTAGTGCAGGCCTGGGGTGACAGCCTCTCTACTTGCTTTCCTTTGTCTCAGAGGTTTTCTGTCCACCAAGTTGGGTCCAGTCAGCCGTGCATGGTGACAACTATGGCCTTTCCCTTGACGTTATAATACCTACTCTTGCTCCCAGGACATGACACATTAGGAAAAATCAGAATCTGAGGTAATTTACACAGCAGTGCCCAGTAGCCCAAAGAGTTGCTGGCCTGAGGCAGGACCAGCCCCTTTCTGTGACAAAGGGAAATGGCAATGAAGGTGGTTTCATCTGGGAGAATCTTTGCTCCTCTTTACAGGTGCTCTGAGCAGAGGCTGGACTGCCACCATTAGATGCTCACACTAGAGGCAGGGAGGAGTGGGGGTACAAAGAATTGTGGTATTTGCCCATGATGGCCTGCATAGGAGGTTGGTTTGCACCCCAAGTTGTGTTTCTAAAATGTGACAACTCAGACATTCCCCTTTCTATGCATGGCTTAAGTTCTATGGAGAGTTCTTCATGGGACATGGAGACAGAAAGTGACTCTTCTGGGAACACGCAAACCAAAAAACTTTTGGCTCCTCTCGAAAGCCAGATAAACCCAGATGTTTGTGGATTTATTTGTAATTCACAAGCAAGGGGTGTGGCAGTAGAATTCCTTCTGTGCATGGCATCTGAGTAGGGACATGAATCAGGGTCTTATCCCTTGCTTCCCTTCCTGACATGGATTTACAGGTGTGAGAACTTTTGTTTTCTGGCAACATTAGCTGCTCTGAAGAAACCTGACATAGAAGCCAACCCATGGAGGTTTAAGATACCTGATCAATCAGGATCAAAGAATGTATACTCCTCATGTGTGAAATGGACACTGAAACATCAGCATGCTCACAAGCTGTGTGAGACAGAACTGCTTCTGCTGCCCCTGCTGTCCAGTTTCTTTGTGCTTGGTCCTGTTGTATTCCACAGTAACTTGCTTTCTTTATAGAGGAAGCCTTTTAAATGCAAGCCCCTACTCTTTACCCCATAGTGGAAAGTCTGTAAGGGGCCATGCAGCTAAGTTCTTTTGTCCTCCCCAGCCCTGGAGAGATGCCATTCCCTCTGTGACACCGCAAAGCTACTACTTTCTTGTTGTATTGCCCTTGGTCCTATGCTTTGCCCACTAGCCTGCTTATTCTCAGGTCTAGGCTGACTGTCCTCTGAGGACATTTTCCTGGCATTGCACTCTCCGGGTTAGGTCTGATGCCCTATTACATACTCTTATGGTACCACATCCCACCTCTGCCCCTGACCCACAATCCCTGATACTTCAGGGATCACCAGACGATGCATTCCTAGTTTAGAAGGCTCTGCATCATCTCCCTGAAACCGTCCTAATATGGGAGACCCTCCCACACCTTCCAAGCCCTCCTGAGACCAACATCTGAGGCACACCATATGACTCTTACCAGGCTGTAGGCTCCTCCAGAGTGGACACCTTTGCACTATGGCAAGAGGAGACTCCAAACGTTTCAGAGTCTCTGCAAATTCATCTAACACAAAAGACATTGATAGATGTCCTTTTGTAACTTTCTGCCATAGCCTCAAATGACACTGAAAAGTGTCCACTATTTTTTCCTTCCTGACATTTTCAATCAAATGTTGCTGTGTGAAATGGTGCCTAGGACTAAGTGCCAACAATTTGTGTGGGCAGAAGGAAAGAATGACCAAATGGAGGAAACATGTAGAAAAATAAAAGAGGGACAATATAATAACAAAAGTTTTTTCTTAATCTTTGGGGTAAACACCACTACCCAACACCGTGACAATGGCACCAAGAGCCCTCCATGGGTGAAAGGGAGCTGGCAGTGACAGTTTCAGTGCTAGCTCCACAAACTAGGCTCGGGGGCAGCTTCTGAGACAGCCTGTATGAGATACTGACCCGTGTCGTGTGCCATTGGTGAGGAGGAAGACAGCGAGCTTTTCCCAAAGGGTGACGATCTCCCCAAAGGATGATTTTTCTCGGGAGGCAGGAGCGATTTCCCGGAATAACCTTTTTGCTCTTTATTCAGCTGCTGCAGCAGATACTCATTAGTTACCACCAGGGATCTGAGGCCCAGGGGAAAAGGCAGTCATGAAATCACAAAAGCAAAGTGATGCCATTCAGGTCTGAAATGGCTACTAAAGATAAATACACAATGAAGTAACATCTTTCAATACAATTGTCCAATTTATGAGTGAGTTATTTTGAAGCAGACCTGCAGTTCCTTTGTTACAACTCTTTTGTTTGATTGTGTTCCAGACTGACAGAAGCAATAATGTATTTCACATTTTATGGAGTGGATATTTCATTCTTTCCAATTTCATTCATTCTTTTCTTGGTGAGGTTAGTAGAAGCACTAGGGCACTGGCCCCTGACCAGGTCCTGCAATTCCCACTCTCAAATCACTGCTTCTTTTATAAACCTGCCTCTTTAACTAATGATACAAGGTACTACTGCACTCCTGAATTCTGAATTACCATGCAACATTAAAAGCCATCTACACACCAGCACAAAACATGTCGTATACAGCCAAGAGTGGTGGCATCCACCTTTAATCCCAGCTCAGAAGGCAGAGGCAGGTGGATCTCTGTGAGTTTGAGGCCAGCTTGGCCTACGCAGTAAGTTCCAGACCAGCCAGGGCTGTGTAGAGAGACATATATATATATATATATATATATATATATATATATATATATTTAAGGACAGCACTTTTTGTTTGTTTTGAGGGGTTGGAGGTGGGAATTGACCCAAGTACCTCACACTTGCTGGACACACACACACCCCAGCTCATACTGTACTATTTTGGTTTGTCAAATACTGTTTATCTAAACTGGTATTAATAGAGGACTAATTTAAAAAAGTATAACCACACAATGAGCACTAGGCAGCTATAAAAAGGATTGAGAACTAACTGAGACTACTGTGAATTGATTTTTTAAAGGTGAAAACATTGGGCCAATGAGATGGCCTGGTGGATAAAGGTGCTTGTAATCCTGCTTGACAACCTGAGCTTGATCCCTGGGACCTTCATGGTAGAAGAAAAGAAGCAATTCCATACACTGACCTCCACACAGAG